AGCACAACATTCTTGCTTCCAGCTTCACCATGTTCACGGCCACTCAGATTTCAGCATGTCCTGCTCATACACGATGTCCAAAGGAAGCATGGCCTTGGAGATGACCTCGTCATCATTGTGGTCATCTTCGACCTTCTTCTTGAACCCTTTCAGCAGCTTGAGGCAACAGACCATGATGTCAGTCTCAAAGTCTGATGCTGGTAAAGAATTGCACACCTGTGCTGTGGATAACGACAAAAGAGTTGTGGGGACAAGAATGAATGCCCTGCCATTTGATGTGTGCCAATGCTCTGGTCCCAGGTTCTGAGCAGGCTTTTCAGGGCCAGGGCCTGAGGTACAGAGGGGCCAAACCACCACCTGAAGCTGCGGACCAGAATGCAGCAGGCACAGGCACTAGGGAAAGGGCAGGCTGAAGTGTTCTGGATGCAGAGCAACTGCCATGCCAAGACCCTCATCTTAATCCTCACAGTGTGACTGTGGTACCTTGACTGCAGGGCCTGTTGGAAGTGGTTGAGGTGCTGATGAGGAGGCTGCCTTGGACTAACAGGGCAGCCCCAAGCAGTGGCCTGCAGTCCCTACAAGAGGAAGGTAGGGATCAGAGATGGCTGAGAGTGGAGAGGATGTGAGTGGCTCTGGAAATTGGAAGGGCTGGGAACAGATTCTCCCTCCAGCCTCCAGAGGGGACACAGGCTGGGAGGCAGCTTGATATGGGCCCAATGAGATCCACTTCAGATGATAACTTGTGCTGTTTTAAGATGTCAGGTCTGTAGCTGCTGGTTACAGGAGAACTAATGGATGAAGCCCTGCCAGCTGCTGCAGCAGATGTATGCACAGAACCCTGGGAAGCTCAGCAAGGGCAGGTGCTAGAGCTGCTCTCTGCCCTTCCTGTGGTATGCACCACCCTCCCTTGGCAGATGACCTTCAAGGCACAGAGCTTTCAGGGGAAGGAAAGAACAATAAAGTACCTCAGGGCACTGAACTCCTCAGAGGCTTTCTCAGGGGAGACCAGCTGGGAGGAAGGCTGGGCCAAAGGCCTGCAGAACAGGCAGCCTCTGGGCCTGGCCACATGCCTAGGACCCATCCCCACATTCTTCAGTGAAAGGCAAGCCACCCACACACTTTTCATTAGCATGAGCATAAAGCTCTGATGCCTCTCCCACCAGGTTCACCTATTTTTTTAAATCTGTTTCTGTTCTAGAGTCTCTAATCATGCCTTTCATTCTGCTCACCATCTCTGTAGTTATCTGGGAAGTTATTTCTGTGTTGAATTTTTCTAAAGCCTCATTCATCTGTTTTGTTAATTCTTGTGCTAACAGTTCAGGGTCTCCATGTGTTTGATTATCAGACTTTTCTATCTCAGAATTCGCCTTTGGTGATGTGGAAGTCTGTGTTTATGCCTCACTTTAATGTCTTCACATTCCTAATTTTGTTGTTGGTATTATCCTTGGTTTAATTCCTGAATTAACACTTAGATCTTCTAGATGTAGATGGTCTTTAGATTTTGAGTCTCTAATGATGCTAAGGCAATCTCATTTTCGTTATACCAGGAAGGACACCTGATTAGGTCAATCACAACACCGTAGCCCAAGTGATACAGTCAGCAACACAATAGCATCAAGCACAGTTTGGAAAATGACAATTTGTGATAGTTATTAATGCATCATCTTTAACTGTGTGAATTAAGTCAAAATCAAGGACCAGCACCAAATGTTTTTTATAGTGAATAAACTCCTCAATATGGCATCTTTACCCTTAAGGGTGGGGACTTAGAAGGAGTTGGGGAGAGAGGGATAGATAGGTAGAAAGATAATGGAAGTTTAGGAGTGAGGCTAGAGGACATAAGAAGATCATGCAAACTCTAGGAAACTGTTGAAGATAAGAGGAAAAGACAGAATGAAAGAACGAAGACAGGAATAGAACAACCTAAAAGCAATAGGGAAGCTAGAAACAGTACTTTTCTTTGACACTAATGACAATTGAGAGAAGGAAAAAGAGATAAGAAAAGGAAAAGAAAGATGAAATCTAAATTAGGGCAGGAACAGGAACAAGAAGGGAGATGAAGAACAATGTGAGAGAGTGAGAAAGTGAGTGAAAGAAAGGAAAGAAATAAAACGGAGATAGAAAAAAATTGAAAAGAAAAATATAAAAATTAAAAATAAGAGGGAAAGAAAAATATAATTTAAAAAATAAAAACTAAAAATGAAGGGCCTCCTTCAGGGTATGTCTCTGCTGTCACAATAGGTAACGTGGGCAGCAGTGTGCAGATTTAAGTCAATTAGTCTTAGTAAGCCAGCGGCAGACTCCTGAGATTCAGACTGATTTCTGGCTGCGTGGCCCAGGTTGAGATCCCTGACTTCCTGCAGGATTGAACTTTGCAAGGTTCTACTGCAGGTTCCAGCTTCCCTTCCCCTGAAGATGGTCCAGGTCTTTATCTGAGGTGATGATCCCTGTAACTTACTGACTAAGGTGGTCTGGTGTGCCTTTATTATAGAGTCTCTTCACTTTTCCAGTGGGTTTCAATTTTCATCAAGGAGCCGAGAGAGGCCCGCTTCCTGTTGTTCACTTCTGCTCTATCTTCTGGAGCTCAGGAAAATGACCTTTATTGCCACCTGTGCCTCTGCGGTATGGATCCAGGTACCAGCACAACCAGGGGGCCAGAGGTGGTAGGTGTGGGCAGAGGGTGGTGCATTTTTTCCTACCTTTTCTTCAAGGAATTACAAACTTTTAGGCTTAATTTAGATATTTGCTCCAAAATAATAGATTTTTTTTTTACATGGAGTAAGGGACAAGAGCCCAGTATCAGTCTTTTGTATGTGGATATCCAATTTTCCTATGATTATTTGAAAGAAAAAAACTGTCATTCTCAAATGCATATTTTGAGCAACTTTGTTGAGTTGTCTGTAGATGCACAGTTTTATTTCTACAGTTTTAATTCTTTTCCCTGGTATTATGTTTGTATTTTAATCTGCTCTCTGCCTGATAAACTCTCATTCTATTTCCAGACCATATTTCATAAACATTTTGGATAGTCTTTTATTCACTTAAGCCAAATATTATATATACAACAAATATGCTGATGTTTTAAGTCTTTGTATGTGAATGCAATGCTAAATATTTTAGAGAGGTATATAATTTATTTGAAATATAAGAGGATTTCAGTAGCATTTTTTCCCAATAATCAATAAATTCTCCTCACATTCTCCTACTTCACAAGATGGTAAACAAAACAATAGAGCTCTATGGGACAGATATAAACTACAAAAATTTTTCAAAAAAATTATCTCCACTTATTATTACAGTAAAGTTAATATTAAATTTCCTACAATGCTTTGACAATTCCATTCATTTGGTGAAACCGGGGTCTCCCTCTCCTACTTTCACAATTGTGAGTGAAAATTAAAGGATGGTCACATCCTGTAAAATGTTCCAGTGATGTGAACATTAATTCCACTCCAATCAAATTTGATTGTCAACATGAGTCAGCTATGAAAACAACAACATGAAGCCAAGACAGAACCAAGTAAATATAAACCTACAGAAATGATCCTGGCCATTTAAAAATATTTTATATTTTCAGTTTATATATAAGCAGAAGTGGGAGTCTAGACTTCTCTGACCACCTAGGCAAAGGTCACCTTGGATGTTTGAGAAAATTCTGTCCTCAAGGAATGGTGAAGATACCTATTTACTAACTGTCAAGCAACTGGGAACTTGAGTTTATTGGCTGCTATTCAAGGGGGTCAGTTATCAATTTCTGACACAGGAAAAGAAGAAGGAATAGAGTATTGCCAGAGGTATGGAGAGGTAGAGGAGGAGAAAAATCATAGACAAATACAAGAAGGCTTAAGAGGTAACTGCATGTACTTTCTCTTTATTTTATTAAAACAACATTTTCATAAATTTTGAACCTAAGAAGGGATATCATTTCCAAACAGATACATAGCTAAAAAAAAACAATGATCAAGAAGCATGCACCTTTGTAGCCATTCATTCAGAAAAGACAAATTCCAAGGCTTGCCTGAAACAGTGAGGAGGAGAAACAGACACACACACAGGCAGACAGACACACAGACAGACACACAGACAAACAAGAGGACTGTGCAATGTTGGTTGACACTCACTAATATGACAGGCAAATATTTAAAACATCTCTGGACCTCCATAAATCCCAGAATGAAACACAGCAAATGTCACAATTTATAATCCCAACAAAATTAGCTTAAACCATGGAGATTTTACTTTTCACCACATTGATATAAGGGCTGAGGATAGAGAAAATGAAAATGTTCAAAAAAGAATGCACGCAAACACTGAAGTGTGTACAGTTAGATATAAAAAAAAGCAACAAAAAGCTCAGTAGAAATAATATAATGGAGAAACTGCTCCCCATTTTCATAATGTGCTTGGTATTGTCTGGTACTATAATACCCCTGAATCTACTGTGCAAGTTTAAATAATTTATTAAATTATTGACTAAAAGTATTTCAAATTCAGTAGCTTCACATTTATTTTAAAATAAATCATATTATTTTGTCAAAAAGTAAAGTAATATATGAGTGGTATTTTTGCCTCATTTTCCATTTGCCCCTGTAACCCTGTGGCTTGGCTGATTTAATAGTCAGAGTGGGGAAATCCAGAGAGTCTGTTCAAGCAGAAGTGAAGATTAGGCAAGGGGAGGGAGAGATGCCCTATTGGGTGGATTAAATGATGACCACCCTTTCAGGGCAGAGACGGATGAGGCTGAGCAAAAGTTCAGTATCAATTGCTCACAATCCAGTTCTGCAAATAAAGGCTCATACAAGTATAAGGACTTTGAAATCACATAGGGGCTTTTCTGAGCTCATATGAATAAAGCTGACACAGGGAGAAAAACCGGAAGCCAAGGAAGGAAGAGTCAGTATGGAAATCAGGGCAACAGGGGAAATGAAAGATGCAGTAGGAGTATCTGGGTTGTGGGAGGCAAATTTTTTTCACTGATACTAAAGCCCTTTGAAGAAGAGATTGTCAGTTGAAAGAGAGAGGAAGTCACTACAAAGTACAGAGGAAAAACAGTTGCTGAAATCAGAGATCAAGCACAAGCTGAGAGACAGAAGTCCCTTCTGTCCGTGAAATGCTGCTCCTGGCCCTGGCATTGCTTGCAATTCTGTTCCAAGATGGTGACACTCAGGATGGTAAGAGGAGCTTGGGCATCTGCTGGCACTGGTGCCCTGGGTCAGGATAAAGGCAGGCTGTGCTTACCCAGGTGCACTTGGGGGACTAAGGCCCTGAGCTTTCTGGTATCCAGGCCTTTTGTCCCCTTCTGCAGGTTGAGGCTGGAGCCCGAGTCCCTGGGACTTTCAAATGGGTGGCGTGTTGTGGTTTCTACAGATTCTGGGTCTTTTTCTCTTTCTTCCTGCTTCTTTCTTTCTTTACAGTCTTATCCTTTCTCTTTCCACAGCTTCACAGCAGCCGATCTCCTTCCATGTCATCCAAATCTCATCCTTTTTCAACAGCACCTGGGCACAGACTCGAGGCTCAGGCTGGTTGGGAGATTTGCAGATTCATGGCTGGGACAGTGATGCAGGCACCGCCATATTCCTGAAGCCCTGGTCTAAGGGCAACTTGAGTGATGAAGAGGTTTTAGAGATGGAGGAATTATTTCGTGTTTACTTATTTGGATTTGTCAGAGAAGTCCAGGAACGTGCCAGTCCTTTCCAGTTGCAATGTGAGCCCATTCCTCAGACTGAGGGGCAGGGTGGGGTCTCAGTTGTTTCCATCCTCTCTTGCTTCAGGCCACTGCCACCTCTTGTCCTCACCTCCTCCCACTTTCACACAACTGCTTGTTCTAGCCATGTCTGCTCTCAGGCTCTACAATCCATCAGGCATTCTCAATATTTAATGCCCTAACACTCATCTTACAGATAAGAGGCACCATTTTCTGACCAATCCGGGTCTATCTTATGTGAACTTGCTGCTTATTTTCCTACATTGTGCCTTTGCCACACAAGTGTGGCTTTCTTCTCTTATATATCCTCTTCACCTTCTCTTCCTGAGCTTTCCTCTCTGTGTCACCCTCTACTTCCCTCTGGAATGTTGTACTTGAGAATCCCTCCTACTTTCCTGACCTTCTGCCTTTCTTTTCTTATCTTACCACCCTACACTTTATACACTCCACCCTCCCTTCATGACATGCACATGACCAGGGAGAGCCCTGGTGTTCATTTACCGAGGTTCTCAAAGTGTTGTAATGATTTCACTCCATTACACATTTCTGATTCGATCCCACACAAAATTTCCCATCTGGCCCATCTCCATCTCTTTCTTTATTGTTTAATAACATGTCTGTGTTTTCCTTCTGCCCAGACCCCTTTGAGATCCAGGGCATCGCAGGCTGTGAGTTGCATTCTGGAGGTGCCATCACACCCTTTTTGAGGGGAGCTTTAGGGGGAATGGATTTCCTGAGCATCAAGAATAATACATGTTGGCCTTCCCCAGAAGGTGGCACCAGGGCACAGAAGTTCTGCACATTAATCATGCAGTATAAAGGTATCTGTGATACCATATACAACCTCCTCATAAATACTTGCCCCCCGTACCTGATGAGTGTGCTTGCAGCAGGAAAGACAGATCTGCAGAAGCAAGGTTAGTCCTGTTCTGTTTCACTTCCATCACTTCCTTTAATTCCAAAGCGTGGGAAGTTAGTAGAAGGGCTTGCTCAGTATTGCATCTCACTCTCCGTGTGTAGAGGAAATAATGCCCCAAATTCTGGGTTTCTGAGGTAAGTGCTCTGGGCTAGAGTTACAACGTGACGCTCTCGTTGCTCCTTCCTCCCCCAGTGAAGCCCGAGGCCTGGCTGTCCAGTGGCCCCAGCCCTGGGCCCAGCCGTCTGCAGCTGGTGTGCCACGTCTCTGGCTTCCACCCGAAGCCCGTGTGGGTGACGTGGATGAGGGGTGAGCAGGAGCAGAAGGACACTCAGCGAGGGGACGTCCTGCCCAATGCTGATGAGACCTGGTATCTCCGAGTGACCCTGGATGTGGCGGCAGGGGAGGCTGCTGGGCTGTCTTGCCGAGTGCAGCACAGCAGTCTAGGAGGGCAGGACATCGTCCTCCCCTGGGGTGAGAAAGGACGGGGCCCAGGCTGGAAGTCGGGGAAGGTTGTTCTAATGTTCACTGAAGGATCTGGGAAGAAGTGAGGGAGGGAGGAGAAGCAGAGAGCTTTCGTGGAGGGAGGGAACAGTGAGAGAGGAGGAAAGACCTTTAGAGAATGAAAGATACAGATGTGGACTAAGGACGGAGTTCATGTAATGTGATGTAATATACTCTGTTCTCTTTCCCGATGGATAGGACACTCTGTCTCCATTGGCTGGGTCATCGTTGCAGTAATAGTACCCTGTTTGATCATTTTGGTGTTCTTTGTTTTATGGCTTTACAGGCGCTGGTAAGTTTTTATTTTTGTCATCATTTTTTTCCCATCTTTTCTACCTTTTACGTAATTAGAAAACATTAGCCTCCAGCTTTCCTCAAGCTCTTTCCTGTTATCTTTAATCCACTGTGTAAAGCAAATTTGTAAAATCGTGCCAAAAATATCTTTACAGTTTTTATCAGTTTTCAGTATTTTAAGTCCATTCATGCTTTTTTTTTTTTTTGCAATCGTGACTGTTTCCCATCTCCGGAACTCCCTTCCTCATGCAAAACTGAAACTGCCTTCCCATTAAACAACTCCTCATGCTGGTTCTTCTTCAGGGCCTGGTAGCGTTCATTCTCCTTTGTACTTCTGTGAGTTTCACTGTTCGAGGTATCTCAAATAATAACATCACACAGCAACTGTCTCTTCTTGCCTGGTCTCTGTTACTTTGCAGTATATTCTCAAGATTCATCCACATTGCTGTGTATGTCAGAATTTCCCTTCCACTTAAAATTTTCTGTTGCATGGACACATACCACCTTTTGAGTGTATGTTCATCCGTTTGTGGCACTTTGGCTGCTCCCACTGTAAAATGCAGCTCTAAATATAGACTTACCTATACTTCTTCTTTAGAGCTGTTTTTTACTTTGTTCTTACAGGTCGTATGAGGATATTTTGTGATTTGTCACCATCTCATCTCTATCAGGAAGAATCAGTTCCAGGATGTCTAGAAACTTGGGTTTTCAGCCCAGGAGTCAATGCTCTTATATTGCATCAAATATCCGTTGTTGTTGGTCATGGCAAAGATTCAGTTGATCCGAGCCTACATCACAGTATATCAGCAACAATAAAGAGTTGTGAATATATTTTGAGATTGCGTCAATTAAAAAAATGTGCCCAGATGTTATCCCTTGTAGGGTATAGGTGATGTGCTTCTTTAGGCAACAATGTGTTTTATACATTTTACTCTGTTAATGTCATGAGTTATATTTATTTTCAAATGGGAAGCAAAATTATGTGTTTGCAGCTTATCTGTCTTGTTCATAATTTGTGATTGTGGATTCAATCAGTGAATATGTTGTTTGAATTATGTATCTATATTTATTTAATTCTAACAATGTCCTTGACAGGTATTGGTATTAAGGTTTTTTTGACCTCATAAGATAATTTTAAAATATGTTTTGTTTTTATTGTCTACAATGTGGGACTTCTTGTGTGTGTTTGTGTGTGTGTGCGTATGTGTGTGTGTATTTCTTTTGTGACGAATTTTGTAGCATTAAATATTGAAATCATGTATGTTGAAAAATATTTTTGTAGAAATGTTTCAGAGTTTGGGTCAGTTGTTAAAAATCAATCTAATTCTATTGATTGTATTTTCAGATGTGTTTTTTTGTAATTTATGCTTTTCAGTTATATTCTAAAAGTTATCCAAGTTTCCCAATTTGAGAAAAGCTTGTTTATATGTCCTCTATAATATATCAATAAATATAGGTTTTATCATTATTTTTCATCTCAAAATTAAATTTTTTTCCTTGTCTTTTACATTCTTTTTCTTTCTCAACTTGACAAGATTTTAGCAATTTTTAAGGTTCTCATGAACCAACTTTTGGCTTTGCTGCTGTTTTTTTCTGCTGTGATATCATGTTTGTTTCTTTCTTCTCCTTTCTTGGTTCTTTAATTGCTTTCATGTTACCTATTTACCATTATTTTTTCATTTGCTCTTAAGCCTAACATTTACTTTAATCATGGATGTAGCTGCATATCAGAAAACTTTGCATGGTGCCTTGTCTGCTGTCATTCAAAATATTTTCCTTCTTTTTCTGATAGAATTTGCAGAAACAGTTTCATTACTCCATGTTTGCAACGCATACTCAATACATTCACCATGGGGTGTGGATTGCCAAATCCTCCCTACTTCACCTTCGCTTACCCTCTGAAATGTTCACCTCCTTTCTTAGACCCCTTTTCTATCTCCAAAAGGTCTACCTTCTTGTTTCCTATCATCTCTCTTTTATTTTGCTCCCAACATTTTATTTTTGCATTTCTCATATAAGAGAAACATGGAATATTTACCCTTATAGATATAATTTATTTCGCTTAGCATTGTAGTCTCAAGGTCTATCCATTCTCTTACAAATGACTCAAATGTCCCCTTCTTAATGGCTAAGTAGTACTCCATCATTCACACACACACACACACACACACACATTATATATATATAT